TTTTTTTTTTTTTTTTTTTAGCTCTTTATCAGCGTGGATTCATCTGATCACACACTGGATGTTATGCTATAAATGGCAGGCCTGCTATTTTAAAAAAGTACATGCTAACCAGTCAGCCATTGTTTAAGCTTTGTAAAAAAGGGCTGCGGAGAGAGCTTATTTTGGTTATATGCGGCACTTCACCTCCTTTCACCATTTGTTACTGTGAATTGGTCTGCTGGTGACCAGTGATGTGTGGGGGCTTAGTGTAAGTCAAGTTTTCCCAAGTGCATGCAAAAAGGTCACTGACACCCCCCCCCCCTTCCTGGCCCAAGCAGCTGGAGCATTCCCCAAGCCTTTTGTGATGTGTAGCTGTGGCCGGGGAATGCCCTGATTGTGCCGAGGGGAGTGTATCGGTGACTGTTTTGTAGGGGCTTGGGTGATCTTGGTAGCACACCATTTCTGGTGACAATAAAAAAGTAACTGTTTCATCTCTTGTTTACATTACACAATGTTACTGTTTGTCATAGAACTGCAGAAAAGCCATATCCGATCTTCGCATATTCATCCTAATGTTTCATTTAGTATATGTGCATGCCTTCTGCTTAAATTCTGCTTACTCTTGACTACAATCTCCGTTCCTTACCATTACTTGTAACTTTGTAAATATCATATCTATAACTTTTCACATACCAGACAGATGTAAGGTTAATGAACTTTCTATATTGTATCTGTTAATATTGAATCCATTTCTAGGTATATGAAGTGTAGGAGATTGTTCGCTCTCTGACTTTTTAGGCGGAAATACTGTAAGTAACAGTAACTGTAGTTGTATTTTGTAATAGAAGTTCTGAACAATGTATTCTACTTGAATACAGTACACAGACACTTAGACTGATATTTTTGTTTATGAAGACATATTAGAAGTAACTTGTAGGGACCATTAAAGAGTATATTGTATGCTGACATTCATTATCTGTAATAAGGTCATGTTGTTATAGAACGTATATAACCAAAAATTATCAACATTCATGTAGAGAGGTGAGTGATTTAATTCAAATATGTCTAAGATGCATGCACTGAGACTATAGTGATCAATTGATAACAAGTTAACGTTAAAAGCAATGTATGGCAAACCTCAATTTTCCTGCGGTCCGGTGCAGAGAACTGACGTGATCACTTTGGCACTGTGATGCCACTACATTTGACAAGATGCTATCACCGTGGGTAAACAGGAGCCTACAATTACAAACTGACATGAAAAGGCTAAGAATGGTTTGCAAAAGTCGTTATTTCTTGGCATTGTTGGAGAACAGCTATACCAAACCTCCAGAAGCCATCCTGCCCTTAAGAGTGGGGCGCAGTCATAACCCCCATTTGTTTTGCAATGGTTCAAAAGTCATTTTGTTTCTTCCCTGCACTAAGCAGTGAACTAGAATAGTATTATTACCTGTACCATGCACGTAGTACAAAGGGCAATGATAGAAGACAGTAGGAAACATTCAGAATTCTGTTTACTATAGTCTTAACAGTGAAAGATGAATTCTGATGCCCTTTGTACCTTGCTTTTTGCCTTATTAAGTAAGCCTGATAGTGTTTTAACATTGTTTTGGGGTTGATCAGCAAGTTTTGCTTTTAAAATTGTATGAAGTGTTTTTTGCCTTCTGCTGTTTGTAGTGTGACCATAAGAAATAAGTGGCATTAGTTTGGTGCCAGTGGTGTTCAGCATACGGCTGAAAATTTTACGGGCAACTGACAATTAATATTTAATTTGCTCTAATTGTCTATATGTAGTATATTTAGTGTGAAAGACTGCACTGCTTCTGCAGCAGCATCTTTATATCACTTAATGCCAGAGCATGCCGGGTGTTGTAGTTCAGCAACCATTGAATAGATACAGTAGGGTGCTTTTTATGCAAGTGTGTATTTATTTCCCTCCTGTTTGATGTAATTCTGTTATCGTTAACAGGTTTTATTCAATTTTACAGTTCTTGTTTATGACATTATGTACGTCAGTAATAAGACTTGCAAATGACTTTAACTGCATTTTAATAAATGGCATATGGGGTTTTATAGGCAGTTGCAATAAGTTTTAGTTGAGGCTGTCAAATCCTGTTTTTATTTTACGACAGCTTTGCCTTAGGAACACTGTTTTTATTTTGCCATTAAACGGCATTGACCCATAATTACCATACCATGCATCTACTTGTCATATAAGCTAGTGTCTTTAAACTGTATTTGGTGGTGCCGCCTCACCAAACGCACTTTATACTGTATTTATCAAGGTTAAGGGTGATTGTACACACAATTATCTTCAGTGTGTTTTCTCATTATTGAAATAGAATTGTTGCCCAGGTCACATGGAGTTTTTATTTTGTTCTTGTAAGGGAAAGTTGCGCTCGTGCAATTTACCCCTAGCGGACTTTGTCCTGTGTAATTACATTGCACCAGCAGCAATATGCACAACCGTCTACCTGCCGTGTCCTATGTTTACACCACATGGCATCTGTGTTAAGGTTTGTCTCTGTTAGGATCATTATGTTGGGCATTTTGTTAAGACTAGATGGGGAATGCCTTGACTTAGCATTTGCCTCTTCAGTGTTATGAATCATAATTAAAGATGATACAGACTGAAATACTGCTTCTTTCTTCACCTTGGTGTTCTTTATTTAGT